TAAAAATAGAAATATTGTGCTGAGTTGCTTGGAGTGAATGAAATACATAAAACGCCAGCATTAGATTAGCTTTAGCTTGTCAAATATTGCTCCCAGCAGAGTCGGTGTAATGCGCTGGTGGAGGCGCAGTCCCCCTCGTCAAAGGGCGCGGGAGCCATGCTGGCCCCCGGCCCCATTGCCCACCGCAGGGCTTGCTGCTCTCGCCCACTGCTGACAGCAAGGACATTGGCCCCCAGGACAGCCCGGGAGCCCCGGGGAGCCATTATAAATAGGAAACTGTAAACACAACCATTGGAGATAAGAGACATCTACGATCACAGGGTTTACTGGTTCAAACGTCCCACCCTCCCCCCCCAGCCTGTACACCTACGCCCCTGTCCCCACTCCATAAAAAGGTCTCCAGTAACAAAATCTTCGTTCCAGGCTTGAAGTAAAGGTGAGGTGCTCGAGGAGTAAAAAGGGACATTGCAACCTTAGAGGTCTTTGCTCAGGAGGGGAGAAAGAAGGTGGCGGGAGGGAGAGAGAGGGTTAGCTGGTTCAGGTCCTTTGCAAGTTCATTTGGTTTGTCTGGAGGACTCCTAGGGTTATACCTGAGATGAAGACGTCTAGGGGACACTCCATAGCTCAATTAAAACATGGTTGGTGTTTTGTGCCTAGAAGAGCCCTCGCTGCCAGGATTTGTCCGTTGCGCTCGCCCTGTGCAGCAAGAGAGCAGCATCCCTCCTCTGCTCAGCACGGGGCTATCTGAACCAACGCTCAGCTGGGGGTGATCCCTCATGTGTCGAGGATCTCGCTGGTGGGCGACGGCTCATGGGGGATGCCCTGTGCGCTGTGGATGGTCTGGTTGTGGGAGAGGGAGTTCTGCTGGAGCTCCAGGGCGATGGCATTCTGGGGGAACTCCTTCACCTGCCGCTTGTACTCGAGGAAGGTGCATGCCTTGGTGGCGATCGCGATGATGTTCTTGCCGATAAAGATGGTGGAGACCCTGCTGTCCTGGAACAAGACCATGTTGATGGCCCGGATGAAGATGGTGACAATGTTAATAGTGACCAGGCTGAGGACAGGGTAGAGCATCATTTTTTGAGGGGCAATGTGCTCCCCTTGCATGCTGATCTCGCTGAGGGACACGCAAGGCAGGATCAGGAGGAGTATGTAGCAGTAGAAGAACATGAGCCCCTCTGCCCAGATGGGCAGGCCGGTCCTGTGCGGCTCCCACAGGTTGGCCTGGATGTCCAAGATATCCAGCAGGTCGAGGGCCACCCAGAAGAGGCGCCCCCGCAAGTCCTCTTTCTTCCGAAAGGTCCGTATGTACTCCATGCTATCCAAGGCCACCAGCACCAAGTAGAGCCCCGGCACGCAGATGGAGAGGAGCAGGGTCAGGGCTTTCCTGGCCACCGTTTCCAGGTTCTTCTTGTCCGCTTTGTAATTCTGAAAGATGAAGTACAACTTGATCTCCAGCACAAAGATGTAGAGAAACCACAGGATCATGGCATAGCCCCGCTTGGCCGTCTTCACTTCTGCCCCCACCCACACCGCCACGTAACGCAGCACGATGAGGAAGCAGATGTCCCCCACCAGCACGATGATGCAGACGCCGATCTTGCGGGGCCCCTGGTTCTGCTCCACCAGGTAGGCATCCATGAAGGCCATGCTGGTCATGATGACGATGGTGGTCAGACAGACATGGCGCTTGTCAGGCGGCGGCAGCACCATGGTGAGACGAGCGGCCCTCCCTCCACGCCGGCACTAGGGGAGCAGTCCTGCCGGCGTGGCACGGGAGGACATCTGCGGTGAGCCCAGGGACCAAGGGCTGCTCCGTCCCCCAGCCCCAGGAAGAGGTCCGTGGAGGAGCAGCGGCTCAGCTGGCAGCCCCGCTCTCCCAGGGCTCTGGGCTGCGCCTGCAGACCCTGTCCCCAGCTCTTCGCCCTTCGCTGGCTGTGCCCTGCAAGCACCGTGGCTCTGCCCCCAGCCCTGGGCTGGCCGAGCAGCCCAGCCCCAGGCAGCCTCTGCCACCAGCAGCCAGGGCTCACAGAGGTGCAGGGCCTCCTCGAGGGATGTCCCTCCCCCGCGGTGGGTCCCCCATCGTTGCCAGGGTCTCCAGCGATCCTATGGCACTAATGCACCTCCGGGCTCCAAGCCCCAAATCCTGGTACAGATCTCCGGAAACGTGGTAGGCAACTGGGCAGCAGGCAGACGTGGCCAGCAGGGAAGGGAAGCTCTCCTCTTCCCAGTGAGACCCCACGCTCCTCCAGCGTCTGGGGGGTCCCGCTGTGTCCTCACGGGGAACCACCTTCACACCTATCCCCGCGGGGCTGTGCCGTGCTCCTGCTGCTCCCAGCTGTACACACATCCCTCCATCCCTGGAAAAGATAGCAGAGAACCAGCATTAGGGTCCCTCCACATGCTGGTCATGAGACAGCGAGGACAGCAGCCCCCCTCACCTCCCACCACACCACAGCATGAGCCAGGCTCCCACCAGGTACCATCCCACCGCCGGGGCACCCACCACCATGCCCTGTCTGTGGCTTAATGCAGAACAGCTTTTTATTGAGGATGAACGCAGCCTAGGGTGCCCTGCATGGAAACACGGTGTGCTGCTCTTACTCAGGCAAAACTCCTCGGTGAGCTCAAGCCCTGGGTGCCCCTGCAGAGAAAGTAGGAGCACAACCCAGGTGGAGACAGGCAGATCCACGAGTGCCCCGTAACACTGCGAAGTCCCACTGGGGCAGCGGCACCCCCAGCTCCAGGTGTCCCAACCTGGTTGTGTCCTGGCTGCAGCAGGAGAGGGACCCAGGTCTTCTACGGAGGTCCCAGCCTGGGGTGGAGGTCTGCTAAATTGTGGCTTTGGGGTTCTACCAGTTACTGAGGAGGAGGGCAGTCAGCTTCCAGCGAGGAATAAATAAAGGCAAGCTCTCTGGAGAGGGCTCTGGGTTTTCTTCTCACCACTTGAGCAGCTGCCTGACAGGGCATGAGGAGGAGCTCTGCACGACCCCGGCCCGCGGCTGCAGCAGGGGAGGGGGTAACGGAGCTCCTGGGGTGTGGGGCACGTCCCTCCTCGAGTAGGGGTGAGGTTAGGGCTGGCACACAGGGCTTGGGCTGCTCCTGGCATGGCAGGGGAGGGGGTAGCAAAGCTGTCCCCAGGGGGGCATGAGGTCCTGGCAGCTTCCTGGACTGGCTCAGCTACTCATGGCCACAGCTCCTTCTCACCATGCTGCACTTGTGTAATTCATTTTTTAGTCTTTTCTGTGCAGGGACCACACTCCTGGGGAGTGAATAGGTCCAAGTGCACTCGAGGACTATCAAACTGCTTACACAGAGTGAAGAAGGTAGGTAATGATCACAGTCGGATATGCCTGCCACACACTGCGTGACAGCAAGCCCTAAATGTGTAGGAGCTCCCTGGGAGGAAAGTGCTTGAACCACAGACCCCCCTATAGATCACCCCATCTCACCCTGGGGAGCCTGGCCACCACAGCCGCGTCTGCCCACGGATCCCCATCTCTCACGCAACCCACGCTTCGCCAGCCCCCAGCACCACGTGCCTGCGCAAGCTTTGGTGGAAATGACGGCCCTGGAGATAACATCTCCAGGGTGACGCAGCCAGGCTGCTGGGGTCTGCAAGCACTCCTTACCCGCTCCGCCACTGAGCCTAGACCTGGATTTGGAGGGCTGCGAAGGTGCTGAGCCGAACCCCACGCATGTATGCAGTTTAGCTGCCCTTCCCTTGGGGCCGGGGGGCATCCCTGCATGCAGGAGGGGGACCAGGACCCCAGGAGAGCCCCGGGAGCTGCTGGAGGGACTCAGCACTGGAGCCCGCCCAGGACTCGGTGGCACTGCTTCTGCTCCCCACCGGCTGCTTTAGCAAGAACACGCACAAACCTGGGCTCTCTCATCTTTTCGGGAGAGAGGCAGAGGTGGAGGCTGAGGGGAAGAAGCCAAGCCTAAGGAATTATAAGCCATTAAAAACTCTCTCATCTTTTCGGGAGAGAGGCAGAGGTGGAGGCTGAAGGGAAGAAGCCAAGCCTAAGGAATTATAAGCCATTAAAATCCTGCCCTACCTTGCGCGGGGAAGTGTATTGCAGCTGCCTATGTTTATGGGGCCTCATTTAAATGAAAGCTGGATTCTCTTCTGCTTCAGGGAGAGAAGAAGAACAATGAAGAAAAAGTGGGAAGCCAGATGAGTCAGAGCCAGCCCCAACGCGTGCCTGAGTAGGTGGACATGAGGGATGCGTGTACCTGTGCCCTGGCTCCCAAAGGACGTGGCAGGCGAGGACGTGGTGCTCAGCAAACTTAGCTTAGCAGGGGACTTAAAAACTGCTGCCCCAGCCAGGACCTGCATATTGCTCTTCCAAGCCCCCTGCTAGACTCATGTACAGCTGGGAAAACTGGCGTGTTAAAATCATTTCTCAGGCAGGAATTGCTCAGAAAGAAACCAAAGAGCCCAGGGGGATTCATGAATACTCCTAAACGGTGCTTCCCAGGCAAGGCACTCACCGCAGCCCTGCTCTCACCAGCACGGCTCTCCGCGACACCTTGTATCTGCCGTTTAGCGCTTCAATTTGTTCTTTCTTGAGGTTTCGGATAAAAATATACAGTCATTGCTGTAACTGCTTTTAAACTCGTGCCAAGTTTTACAGGGGATTTATAGCCAAGGATGGATAATTCCAGATAAATTAGGTCTTTCAGGAGGGAGTGGTGTTTTTTTTTCTTTCCCCCTTAGGTATTTAAGCCTTCAAAAGACAGCGGTTATTTAAAGGGCAGTGGGTGCATCACAGCACGTTAAGGTTAGGAAGCAGCTTCCTGGTAAATCACACCCCTCTGCCCCTGTGCGTTACATATGTGGTCTGGAAAGCCGGGGGAAGGCACACGCTCCCAGCCCAAGCTATCCTCACGCCTACACAAACGCACACAGAAAATCCCTACCCTGCCTCTCAGTGAATACCCAGGGCACCAGACGGTATTAATTCACAGTGTTTACAACAGCAGCAAACAAGTCTTTCACCACCAGTGCCGAGCAGATCGTTTTCAGCAAAAAATATGCTCAAATGGTGAATTCTTCCCTCCCGTCTGCTCCTGAATGATTCGCAGCAGCTTGGGATGGGTGAGATAAACACATTCATTTGTTACAGTGACCTTTCGGAGCGGAGGAAGGGGATTGCGGGGCTGAGCTGAATCACAGGGCTCGAGCGCTGCTTTCTCTCGAGTAAAATCCTGTAGTACCCAGGGCAAGCACCTCTTTTGCCTTTTGCAAGTAGTTTCCAAGCATTCGCTGCAGTGCAAGCTCTTCTTATTTTCTAGCTGTGCCATAGCTGGTATTTTTCCCACCCCTTGCAGCCCCGGTGCTATATGGAAATATGGTGGTCCCTGCCTACCCATGGAGCACAGCTTGTCCGTTTGAGTGATGTGTGACCATCCTACCAGGGAGGGGGGCATGTGAAACTCTCCTCAGAGGACTATTAAAAAAAGCAGGTAATTTTTAAACAACCATTACTCTGGGAAATCCTGACTCACAATTTTTAAATGACTGCACTTGACTACATTCAGACACTGAGAAACGGGCTGGATAAACAAGCAAATGAGCATGTCAGATAGATGCAAGAGTGTATCTGAGGTAAATGTTTAGACAGGTATTCACAAAATTTTTCTTCCTGCAGGAATTCTTGTAAATAGAAGGCAGCTCACCTGAACGTAATGAGCTCGGAGTGTTACGGATGCCAGAGAGCCAGGCTGGCAGCTTCCTACAGGAAGGGATCTCGGAGCCTTTGCACCCTGCTCGGTGCCAGGGCTCCCACGAGCAGGTATTGCAGCGACGTGTCAGTCTTGGCAACTATGGGCCTCCTTATTGGGACAAAATTCAGTCCATAATCGCATATTCTCCTCTGCCACTATCCTACACAAACAGCTCTGTAGCTTGCATTGGAGTGAGCAAGAGCACTCGATAACACCCGCAGCAGCTTGTGATCAGCTGGTGAGATGCAGCCCAAGGGCAGTCCCCAGCCACACCAGTGAAGACTGGCAGCACAACATGGGGACATGCAGCAGCAGCGTGTCCCCTCTCCATCTCCGGGGCAGGCAGGGCACAGGGGCTTGCTTGGGGACACGCCGCCCCCTTCCCAGCATCCCTGCAGGGCAGGAGAGGCTGCAGCGGGAATGGGGGGGGCTGTGATTTCCTGGAGAGGTTTGGGGGTCCTGCAGGTGGGTCCAAACCCAAAGTGAAGTGCAGGGTTTGCACTCTTCATCTCTGCCCTGCTTCCTCTGGCACTGAGGGAAAAGGAGCAGTAGAGGTGCAGCCAGCCCCTGCCCCTATTACTCTGGTGCCTCTGCTCTGGCTGTGGAGTTATTTCTTAGCCTTGTACCTGTTTTTCCCAGCCCTCCTGGCTGCTATAAAGCACCTGTGGTTACCCAAGGACATGTGGTCACAGCCTTGCTTCACCATCAGCCCAGGCAGTTTAGAAGAATATTAAACTCTGCTTTCCACTGCAACGCCGGTGGCTCGTTGCAGTGTGATTAATTACCGCTACTTCTGCCGTTACCGGCGTCCGCAACCCACAGCCACCCATCACCAGCGCCTTCCTGCATACCCTCCCGCCTCTGCTCACTGCCCGTGGCCGGCATCGCCTGGGATGGCACCAGGCACCGCACCCGAGAGCCGTGCGGGTGCAGGGAGCCACCGGCATCCCTGCGCACCCACACAAACCCCATCTCCCAGGTCTGGGGAGCAAGCGGCCGCAGGCAAGCCTGGAGGGCTTGTGGAGCCACTGTCAAAACACAGCCTCATTAATGCCAGCAGGCGCTTCCCAAACCCTGGCTCTACCTGGCAAATTATTTTAAATTATTTAAGTGATTTGAATTCTGTCTATAAATAAAAGAG